TACTATGGAAGACCACAAGAGGAAAGACAGTCGGTGAAAAATTATTTCTGAGAGACACAGTTTCAAATCAATGATCTTGCTGAGTGTCTTCCCCAAGGATCAAGGTTCTATTTAAAACCAGTAGGTTCAATCAAGAGTGAGTGAGTGAGTGAGTATTAAATGTACAATATGAAGAAAAATAGAAAACCAGATTCAAATTTTTATAATTGAGATGTTTTCCTAGCTATTTAAAACATATTAGAGCAGTGGTTCTCAACCTTTCTAATGCCGCGACCCCATAATACAGTTCCCCATGTTGTGGTGACCCCCAACCACTTATACATCACCAAGTGCCAGGGGCGTGGTCAAAGAAAAGGGGGAAAAATGGCGGACAGCCTTTTTTCGTGACCCCGGTGAAATGGTCGTTCGACCCCAAATGGGGTCCCGACCCACAGGTTGAGAACCACTGTATTAGAGCTTTGATTTAAATTACTCTATGAAACAGAAAAGTATTAGATATCACCAATTAGGATAATTATTAAAAATCCTGCATGAAAGTTTAATCACTGGAATAAGTTTACCTTGAGAGAAATATGTTTACCAAACATTTCACTATAAGTAGATATTGCTAGTACAGGTAGTCCTTGACTTATGACCACAATTGAGCCCAACATTTCTGTTGCTAGGTGAGACAGTTGTTAAGTGACTTGTCCTATTTTACGGCCTTTCAGTTGTTAAATGAATCTGGCTTCCCCATTGACTTTGCTTGTCAGAAGGTCACAAAAGGTGATTGCATGACTCCCCCCCCAGGACACTGCAACTGTCTTAAATATGAATCAGTTGATCATGTGACCATGGGGGTGCTGCAATGGTCATAAGTGTGAAAAACAGTCATAGGTCACTTTTTCGGTGCTGTTGTAATTTTGAACAATCACTAAATCAGTGGTTCTCAACCTGTGGGTCAGGACCCCATTTGGGGTCAAACAACCATTTCACGGGGGTCGCTAAACAAGGCTGTCCGCCATTTTTCCCCCTTTTCTTTGGCCATGCCCCTGGCACCCGGTGATGTATAAGTGGCTGGGGGTCACCACAACATGGGGAACTGTATTATGGGGTCACGGCATTAGAAAGGTTGAGAACCACTGCACTAAATGAACTGTTGTAAATCAAGGACTAACTGTTATCGTCAGTATAGGACGGGGTAGGGAACCTTGGCTCTTTTATGACTTGTGGGCTTCAATACCCAGAATTCCAGAACCAGCCATCCTGACTCAGGAATTCTGGGAGTTGAAGTCCACAGGTCATAAAAGAGCCAAGGTTCCCTACCTCCTGGTATAGGATATATATATAAATATTCTGGAAAAACAGAATCCATTTTTTTACTCTCCACCTAAAAAAGTATACATTGTAACTTGTTGCATATGAATAAATGTTTGAACACACTTTGATAAAGAAGTGCAAAGTAAGCAAATAATTGGAAAAAAATAATTGACTGCCAACTTCCAAAGAAAACTCTCTTAAGTACTGTAACTAAAGACGAAAATGAATTCAGGATTGTAGAATTCTTACGCCAAACATTCCAGAAAAAACGAAAATATATATACACTAAATATATATTGTTTTAACTAAAATAAATAGTTAGGACTAAAATTTTCTTAGTTAAAAGCCAAGATGAATTCCTCCACTTGACTGTAATTAGTATACATTTCATGGACAAGCATTTTTATGTCAAAGAAATTCCTTTTTTGATTGCTCAAAATATACTTTAACTGAATTGCTACCAAATTTAGAAACTGTACAGCCCACTGATACTGGATACATTAATGCAAACCAAAGTGATTTTGCCTGATTTAGCAATACAAAGCAGTTACTTTGTTTTTATAACATTTTTTTTTCTTCCTTGTGTTTTTCCCAAGTTCAGGGCCGACTTTTAATAAAAAAAACATTTAAATTAGGTGTCAGAGAACAATGCCTATTTGGGGTATTTTGATGTAAGTATGACATCATAAAGATTAGAAATAATCCTCTGGGTTAAATAACACTACACCTCAAAACTTTTAAGATTTAAATGATTGTTAAGTTTAAGTTTTAAGAAAAGCAGATTCTTGGCTGAATGTTTAAAAAAAGCTTCTTGACAGTGTAACTGGTCTCCCAGATAGGCGGTGAGCTGTTCTTCATTGTACACATTCAAACAGAGGCTAGACAACCATCTCTCTGGGATATTTTCACTTGGAGTTTTGCAATAAGGAGCTGGACTCATTGGCCTAACTCTATGATTCTCTCTAAGGAACACTTTAAAAACCACAATAATTACTTTTTTTAACATTGGAATGAACTAGTGGATCAATTAACTTAAACCCCTACAGGAATATTGTAACCCCTTTTTTTCTAATTATCAGGTGTGAAAGATTTCTTTTGTTTAAAATTAAAGCTGCACACAGATGTTACTGTATATCTAAAAACAAGTGAAATCTCCAAACAAAACACAATGGTCTATTAAATAGCAATTCTGGTAAGTAAAGATTTCAAGAAAAAGGGGAATACCAGTAATAACTACTTTAAGAGAATGCACTATTAGCCACAAGTATATTTCTCCAACTAATTGAAAAATTACAACAATTAACATTCATTAGTGTGTCAAAACTTCAGTTTGCTGAGGACTGCTAAACTGAAGACAAACCCTAGGCTATTTCATAGGTTCTTATGTATAAAAATATTTTTTTCCTGCAAGTAATATTACAAATGGGAAGCAAAAAAAGACAGTTGACTCCCTTTTTGGTAGCAGCCTTTGAATTACTATATAATTGTCAGAGTCTACTGGAGTTGGGTGGTTTAACACAGAGATACATACACACAGATACAATCAATTTCTATAAAAGAGCAAGGGGAAAGAGAATAAAGATAAAACCTGGTATACAACTGAAGCATTTTTTTTAAAAGAAAGAAACCAAAGGCTTGATTTTGGCTGCTTGAGGGCAAGCTATTTGAACTAATGCAATCAAGGCCAAAATTGTAAAATCAAATTATTTAAAGTGCAGATTGTGCAAAGAAGAAACAGTAGATCATATGGTATACTCAGGTCCTGCAAGAAGATTGCACAAACTGAATATAAACAATGTAACTGTCACCCAACTTATTCACTAGAACATCTGTAAAAATTATCATGCACCAGTAATAAAACATTTGTGCTCAAGAATGAGCATGTTAAAATATTCTGGGGTTTCTGAATACAAAGTGATAAATTCTTGGGTCATAACACACCAGATTTAACTGTGGTTGAAAAGAAGAAAATGTGGATAACTGATGTGGCAATAAGAGGAGATAGTAGAATAGAAGACAAAGAATTGGGAGAATATCACAAAACATCAAGATCTAAAAATCTAAATTAAAAGATTATAGCATAAAGCAGCTGTGGTGGTCTTAGTGACCATACCAGCATGCCATACCAAAAAATCTTGGACAGTACTTAGAATACCTGCACATTGAAAAAAATTCCATCCATGAATTGCAAAAGGTCACACTGCTTGATCTGTTGATACATTACAACTTCCTAGGTTCTTGAGAAGAATTTTATGCTTATAAAGGCCAACATTAGATAAAGAACTGGCAGCTGTGACTTCACATTGTTGTGAACAGATAATAACTTTCACAATCATCAAACAACAACATATCCCTATTCCAGGTCCTTGGGTACAACTCGATAGGTGGATAAAAACTCTTGAATTCAGTCTAAACATCTGGCTGATTGCTTGACGAACCATAATATCATAACACTCCTTTTGTGGTAGTGCTGGGGATTGCTGCAAGAACACAAGAGACTTTATAAACAAAATGGAATACAAAACAAAATGTATGATTCCTCAGCACATGGAATACCAACTACAAATGAAGAAGAAAAACACCCTATATATCCTTATAAATGTAGAAGACCCCATAAGGAAATACCCCGTTCTGGCATCTTTCCTCAAATCGTCCTGTACTTCTTGCATCAATGCAAATGTTGGTAATCCGAACACACACAGAGTGGTGTATTAACTAGGAGGGAGACCGACTCTTTATTTATATCCAAGACTAATGATCTAACTACCGATCGGGCCACATACTAGCCAAGCACATTTCAGCAAATTCACGCCAGAAACTCCTTCTTAAAAGTTGAATAAAATGACTAGGACTGCATATGGAAATGTACGTGATTGTCTGATCACTCCCTCTAGTCAAGGAAGGGAACAAATGTTCAGCGTAGTTTGTCTGGGTAAACCCCCCAGACAGACAAACTCTTCCCAGAAGTCTGTTTTGCCAAGTGTTACGTTTCACAAGTCAGGCAAGTCTCCCCTCTCTCCTCCCGCTTCTCCCCCCACCTCCTGGGTTACAACTATTAAAATAAAAGGAAATTAGATCTGCTCTTTTCCCAACCCCTCCACCAAAGCCGATGCCAAAAGTTTGATTCAGCCTCCTCCGAACTCCTGGGAAATCTCCGCGGCTGAGGCCGCAAAGCGCTAGGAAAGTAAAAACTTTTGTCTCGCTCTCGAGGCACACAGGCTGAGCTCGTCACGCAAAAAGGCCAAGGGAATCCTTTCCTGGGAAAAGGCAGGCGCCCCGAAATGCTAAGTTGACGAGGAGGGGAAGGCGGCACAGAACCGCCCTCCGCTTTAGTTCAGAACTTGTGCTTTGGAGGAGACACAACCTAAGGCGCTTCCTGCCTTTTCTCCTTCTCTCCTGCCCTGACGTACAGGACACCCATCCTTCCCTTGCACCGTCTCTCCTAGACGAGGCGGCCGAAGCTTTACTCGCCATGGCTACAGCCACCCCACCCGCAAGCCTTGCCCCTTCCCGCCGCCACGCACGCTCCCAAGCATAGCGCTTCCCACCGCCCACTCGGCTCGCCCTCGCGGCCCCCCACGCACGCCTCCTCCGTTCCCATTCTCGAGTTGCAAAGAAGTTTCCGTCTCCACAACAATAGGGTCCCTCTTCCCGAAGCGCGGGATCGTAACAGCCGGCCGGGGGGGGGAGGCAGAACGTACCCGCGACAGAGCCCAAGTTGCACCGAAGTACCGAGGCGGCCAGCAGGAACAGGACCAAAAGCAGCGGCGGCGGCGGCGGCGGCGTTGCCGCCTCCATGTTGTGCTGCAGCAGCAGCTGCCCGCGGACTGGCTCAGGCAGGCTCCATGCCCCGTGTGCACCGCGCTCGGGAGCGAAGGAGGCGGCGCTCCCCAGAGCCTCCTCCTCCTTCTCCTCCTCCTCCTCGTCGGTGCTGTAGCTCTGGGAAAGAGAGAATGGGAACGGGGTGGGAGCCTCCCGCCGCAATCCAACCCGAGGAGGAGCGGAACGGAAGCCAAGGAGGCGCTCCGCCTCTTTCCCGGCTTGGGACACCCGCGCGCGCCCCCAGATGCCGCTGTCCCCGCCTGTGCCGGCGCGCCTGCTTGAGGAAAGAGCGCCAGGTGTGAAGTTCGCCATTCAGGTTTTAAATTCAACAAGTCACCTCCCATAGAAAGGAGGAGCGGCGGCGGCAGCAGCCGGGAGTAGGGCCGGGGGAGAAGTTGCCTACAAACCGCTTCCCTCTTTAGGGGGCAGTCTTAACCTGGTCAAGTTTCCCTCAGATGCGTTTGCTAAAGAAATTTTATTTCTGAATCCCCTTCCTTTTGGCAGGTCATGGAAGCCCAGTTCCCAGGAGCCTGGGGTGGGGTGGGGTGGGGGGCTGCCCGTTGCGCCCTCTGAGCTTGTTTTCTTGCAGACGTTTCATTACCCAAACTAGGTAACATCCTCAGTGCTAGTCAGGCTAGTAAGGTGACTGCCTCCTCCTGAGCGAGCCCGACAGCCTCACTGGGTCACCAGTAAGGGCTTAATGTCCACCAACTACTTAGCCATTGGTAAGACTCGAGGAACAAAAGGCTGTTTTGATGGCTACATTCTGCTGGCAGGAATTTTGAATCTTGGAAAGCTGCCAGACAGGAAGATGGTGACTGGGGCCATCACTGCATTTCATTCCGTTCCTGGAAAGCCTGCCGCACCTGTCTAACCCTTGGCAAGCCCAAGGTGGCTGTAGCACAGCACATATGGTGCATTGCTCACTAACAAGTATGCTTTGCATTTTAAGCACCTTTGCTACTGTAGGGGTAGGCAGTGTGCCACAGACACCACCCTTGGCGCCATGAGGCTCTCTGCTGCATCTGACTTATTATTTTTAGATTCTTATAATTAGGAATAAAATAATAGGAAACATGTATGCTGCAAAGTGCCAGCCTCGTCTGTGTCTTTTTAAAATAAGGCAAACTGTTCTGTAGGGGAACATAGAAAAGATCCTATAGTATAGACATTTTAAACAACAAGGGGAGAGTGAAATACAGCCAAGGCTTTTGTTTTAAATTTGTTTGCTTCCTAAAAACTAGAAATTAGATCAGTTGCAGAGAATGGTGAGTACTAATCTCATCCATTTGCCTTGTGTGCAAGTGTATTCCTATGCAACTGTCTGAGCCCATAATGGCACAATAGAATGGCACTCCCAAAACCCTGAATGTGCTCACCAGTCTAGTATAATATTGTGTCCCTCCACTTAGATATTTGTGGAATAATACTGTACTGCTATTGACTAATGTTTTCAGAGTTATTTATGCATTAACAGTTTTGTGACAAGTAAAAACAATCCACACCGCTATATTTCTTACCTCAGATAAAAGCATTTTTCTAGTACCCTAAACAAATCCAATAATCCACTCTCTGTTTCCAAAGAACATAGAAGCAGACACATTCTTTAAGAGGGCCCACGTTCTGTCAATCTACTCCTGTCAAAACCTGAAAGCAGTCTAGATTAGGCCATAGATTTAATGGCTAGACACATGGCCTAAAGCCAGACTGGCATTTGGGCAACCTATTTGAACAGGAATGCTTATTTCAGCTTTGGTCCAATTGGAAATGGTTATATTTGAGTTGGCTTACTGTGTTATAAATAATTCAAAGCCCAGGAAGATAGAAAATGAGCATTTCCTTATTTTAGATTTGTTGTTTATGACCCTACTGAAATATATCAACTTCAGACTTCTCTACAGTTTGTAACTTTCATAGTGAGCTAAATGCACAAGTCCTTAGGATTCCCTGTGGGACATAAAAGACCAGGAAAAAAAAATTACATTGTTCATTTGTCACCTGAGAAGTTGTGCATCTTCCTCAGTCGAATAGAACCAAAAGGGTATTTCTTATTTCTCTCCAAGAATGAAATATATTGGGCAGAAAATGGTACAGCACATTGATTCCCAAGCAAAGTACTTGAGAAGGAATGACTCTTTGGCCCCAAAGCTTTCTGTTTTTAACTGTTGTGATAAAATGTGTTTTGCGTGAATTTGTGAATTTTACCAATTTTAAAGTTTGCAATATTTTTTAGTATTATAAATGTAATATAAGTGTATATTTTTATACAGACTCATGTAGAAAGTAGGATCAAATGGTAAAGCAGTTTCTAAAAAGTATAAAGTTGGGAAGAGGGCTTGGAGCATGTACCCATTATCAATCTATGCAAACATGCCTGCTTTGCTATAAAATAAAGACAAAAACTCAAACTGTTTGCTTGTTTCACAATGTTTGTAATCGTTTTACAAGTTGAGCAAATCACCAAACTTTAGCCTACTTCTAGGATTTAGCATCCAGTCTAGCAGGGGTGCCAGTAAACAGTCTGAATTTGATCTGAGTCCCAATAAGCACAGGCATAACAGAATTGAGACTAGTAGCACTTAAGAGTCACAGACCGTGACTAATTGTTCAGCTTTCTAATTGTTCTTTAACAGAGGTAGATTTCAGCATGGCTGTTGGAACATTCACCTCAGCCATAGCATTTTTAAATTAATCAGCATGTGCTCAGTGTTGCAAGGGCCCTTTCGCCAAGTCTAAAACATTAGTATAAGGCAGTGGTGGCGAACCTATGGCGCGCATGACAGAGGTGGCACTCGGAGCCCTCTCTGTGGGCATGCATGCCGTTGCTCCAGCCCCACCTCCCCGCAAGCCCCTCCTCACCAGCAGCCTGCCCGGAGAGGCTCCCCCAGGCACAGCTCACATGGAGCAGTGCAGCCAAGCACATGGCAGCCGGGAAGCAGGGGCAAGACTCCACCCTCATGCCACATCACATGCAGATTATGCTGCAGGGTGCGGGCAGAGGGCGTGGCCGCCATGGCGCTGCAAGGCTGCCTGGATGATCTGTGGTGAGTGGCCCTGTGGGTGGGCAGAGCAGGGGGCAGAGTGGGGACGGGACGGGGGTGGGCCAGGGGGCGGGCTGGTTTTTGGGCACTCAATCTCTAAAACTGTGGTTCTCAACCTTTTTAATGCCGTGACCCCCAACCGGTCGTAAGTCGAGGACTACTCAACCGGTCGTAAGTCAAGGACTACTCAACTGGTGCGGCACCGTTTGCAGAATGGGACTTTTGGCGGGCTCAGCAGGGCAGAGACAGCCTGGACAATTCCTATTGGCTTTTGAAAGCCAATAGAATTAGACTCTATTCAAGAGAGTCTATTCTATTGCTTTCAAAAGCCAATAGAATAAAAGGGAGTAGCACAGCTAAGGAAAAAGGGGGGGGGGGAATGGCGGACTGCGCTGTTTGGCGACCCCCGTGAAATGGTCGTTCGACCCCAAATGGGGTCCTGACCCACAGGTTGAGAACCACTGCTGTAAAAGGTTCTCCATCACTGGTATACTGTAAGGAATAGTTACATCTCTGTATAAAAAGATGCTACAGACATCCCATGCTAAAATGTCCTGATGCTATTTCATTTTGTTTAATGAAAGTTCAGCATTTTTCCTATAATGTGTGCCCACATTATGCTACAAAGACAAACTATTCAAACTATTTTCCAAAGCACCAAAGCCAAGACAAGAAACAATGGATGGAAACTAACCAGGGAGACAAGGAACCTAGAACTAAGGAGAAAATTCCTAACGGTTAGAGCAATCAACCAATGGAGTAGCTTGCCTTCAGAAGTTGTGGGTGCTCCATTATTAGAGGTTTTTAGAAAGAAACTGGACAACCATGTGTCTGAAATGGTATAGGCCAGGGGTCTTCAAACTTGGCCCTTTTATGACTTGCGGACTTCAACTCTCAGAATTCTGGGAGTTGAAGTTCACAAGTCATAAAAGGGCCAAGTTTGAAGACCCATGGTATAGGCTCTCCAGCTTGAGCAGGGAGTTGGACAAGAAGACCTCCAAGGACCCTTCCAACTCTATTGTTATTCTATTATTCTACCCTAGGACATCATGCATTGTTTTGTCTGTGGAGATGGCTGTGGTCAAGGGTCTTCTGGCAGATAAATGAGATTCAGCCCATTCTTTTAAAATTTGTTTTGTCAGATTAGCCTTAGAAATTTCTGCAACACCGAATTGTGGAGCCTAATCTTGTCCTCACACATATCAGCTCTGTGAAGAACAGCACACATTTCATCATCCAATCAGTGAGCAGCCTTAGTTCTTATAGTAGACGCCCTCCCCCGCAGTTGTGCCATCTGATGACACAACACCAGATAGATTTTCTCCGTATGGTTCATGCTTATCCAGCTACTAGTCTAATCAACAGCAGAATATCAGCCCCTAGAAACGACCCAATAAACCTTCGTGATGAATAATCTGCTTCTTCTTTTTGAGGGAGACTTTTCTATATTTCAGTTTTTAAATGAGCCCTTTCTTTCTCCTTAAAGTCTACAATTCCAAAGATTTCAGAAGAGTGTTTCCTTTTAATGTGTTCGGGACTATTTCTAATATAGCACCCACCAAGATGTTACTAGCACTGCATAAGATGGCCCTTCTCTGTTTTGGTCTGACATTTACTAAGACTTTTTAAATTCTTCAGTTTCTGCACATCCTCTATGACAGTGGTTCTCAACCTGTGGGTCGGGACCCCATTTGGGGTCGAACGACCATTTCACGGGGGTCGCCAAACAATGCAGTCCACCATTTTTTTCCCTTTTCCTTAGCTGTGCTACTCCCTTTTATTCTATTGGCTTTTGAAAGCCAATAGAATAGACTCTCTTGAATAGAGTCTAATTCTATTGGCTTTCAAAAGCCAATAGAAATTGTCCAGGCTGTCTCTGCCCAGCTGAGCCCGCCAAAAGTCCCATTCTGCAAACGGTGCTGCACCAGTTGAGTAGTCCTCGACTTACAACCGGTTGAGTAGTCCTCAACTTACGACCGGTTGGGGGTCGCGGCATTAAAAAGGTTGAGAACCACTGCTCTATGACATCCTGGCTAAACTAAAGTACTTGAGCTAGTGCTTTTTTACTCTTCTTTTTCATAGTGTAAACAACAGAAAGATACCTGCTAGTTGCTTCTTATTCAGGATGGAAGAGAATCACATAT